GCTCATCATAAAATTTAACCCTCAACAATCTGGTAGCAACCAGAAACAGAAAGGTGAAATTTTGCCATCTTATCCAGTTAGGATATTGACTCACTCATAGAGAAAACTTTTTCTTGATTGTAAATGCTGAGATCAGTATAAAGAACAATGTACTTGATTGTATTTCTGTACAAATGATAATATAATTTACATGTAATTATATCTCAAAAAAAGTCAAAAGTATAATGCTAAATTATATACAGGTAGTTCTGGTGTACCAGAATGATGTAATCTGGATATGATGCTTTTTAAAATTTACTATTTCACTGGCTTGATTATTCCCAGCCCTTCCAGTCAGGTATTAGTTCTACTTCTTTATGTATTTTTGTTTGTCTGTTTATATTTTGCAGACATTCCCATGATAGTTGCTAGACTTTCAACATCTGTGGAATGAGAAAATGTATAACAATAAAAGGCTATTGTGTACATTTTATGTACATTTGTATTTTATTCAGAAAAGCTAACTATTGGCATTTATTGAGCACTAATTTTGTATCAGATATTAATTTATTGTTTATATAGATTCCGATCATTTGAAGACTAAAATGTTAATTCCATGAGGGCTAAAATTTGTTTTGTCCCAGGTGTATGGTATATGCCAGTCACTCTCCTGGAAAGTTATTATTTTTAACTTTGTAGTAAATAAGTATCTGATGGGGGATATAATTAAAAACTTTGTAAATGGCCTGTTTCTCATAATTTTGCACTTCAGTTTTAGAATTGAAAGAGTTATTACTATGATGATTGCCAAGTGGAAAAGTTCTAACTCCATTATTCTTTTTACATTTATTAGCTGTAAGAGCTTTCCTTTCTCATTTGTCTGTTTATCAGTGTGGACACCTGAGTTCTTATTTTATTCAATGGGTTATGATCAGTTACTATCATTAGTTTGCTCAAATTTGGTCAGTGGGAACCCCTTCAATCTGACTCCTATGTGTTTCTGACATGTTCATTATTCTTTGAATATGTCCTTTTGACACAAGATGTTCCCAGCCCCACTCCTGGAATTAGTCGTTTCTCCAAGGAGTCCAGGTTCCTTTTAATGGGACATTGAATTTAGAAACTAAGATCTAGGGGTTAGGAGTGCTTTTAGTTAATGTTTAGTGTTCTTGTTTATTAACTCTTGCTGACAGGGTTATATATGCATATGTATATATGTATATATTTGTGTATGTAAATAAAACCAGTAAAATGTAATAGTGGAAAAAAGCAGTATTACTAAATTAATGTATCTTATTTTATGCAATTAAAATATGTTTATAGTTAACACCTAAATATTGTAGGTCACCATAATATTACATCTCAAAAATATTAATAGTGGTTAAAACTTTTTATTTAGATAGCTGATTATTTCCTTGCTAGAGTCCCATTGCACGAAGAGATTCATGCAGTAGGCCTTCCCTTCCCCTGGCTGCCGGCACCGGTTTTCCTCTGGCACCTGGGACCCAGGCGTTCGCTCCGGACAGAACCTTCAGTCTTCGCGGCTCTGGCCGGAGCCTTCAGTCTTCGCGACTCTGGCCGGAGCCTTCAGTCTTCGCTCTGCCACTTTGCCCCTACGTATGCAAATTAACCGCTATCTTTGTTGGGTTAATTTGCATACTCTCCTGATTGGCTGGTGAGCGTAGCAGAGGGATGGCTAATTTACATGTTTGTCTATTATTAGGTAAGATGTTTAGAGCAGCATTATCGATAATAGCCAAAAGGTGGAAACAACCAAGTGTCTACTGATAGATGAATGGATAAATAAAGTGTTTTATATACATACTAGAGGCCTAATGCAAGAAATTCATGAAACCGGCTTGGCCCTTGCAGCCCTGGCTGCCTCAGCCAACCCTCGCAGCTTCACAGCCTCAGCCAACCTGCGCAGCCCCGGCTGCCTTGGCCAGCCCTTGCAGCCCCGGCTGCATCCAGATCCGTGGTCAGCAAACTGCTGCTCGCAAGCCATATGTGGCTTTTTGGTCCCTTGAGTGTGGCTCTTCCTAAGCCTTAGGAGTACCCTAAAGTTAATAACAATGTACCTACCTATATAGTTTAAGTTTAAAAAATTCGGCTCTCAAAAGAAATTTCAATCGTTGTACTGTTGATATTTGGCTCTGTTGACTAATGAGTTTGCCGACCACTGGTCCAGATGGTCGTCCAGAAGGATATCTGGATGGTCATTCTGCTGTTTGGTCTAATTAGCAGTATTAGCTCTTTATTATATAGGACTAGAGGCCCAGTGCATGAAAATTCTTGCACTTGGGAGTGGGGGAGAATCCCTCAGACCGGCCTGTGCCCTCTCTCAGTCCAGGACCCCTCGGGGTATATCCACCTGCTGACTTAAGCCCGCTCCCCAGGGCATTGGGCCTAAGCTGGAAGTCAGACATCCCTCTGGCAGCCCGGGAGCCCTCGGGGGATATCCAACTAACGGCTTAGGCCTGCTCACTGCAGTCAGACATCCTTATCGCTGCCGAGGAGGCGGGAGAGGCTCCCGCCACTGCCGCAGCACTTGCAGCCGTCAGCCCGGCTTGTGGCTGAGTGGAGCTCCCCGTGGGAGCACACTGACCACCAGGGGGCAGCTCCTGTATTGAGTGTCTGTCCCCTGGTGGTCATTGCACATCATAGTGTCCGGTCATTCCCAGTCATTCTGCCATTAGGGTCAATATGCATATTACTCTTTTATTATATAGGACTAGAGGCCCAGTGCATGAAATTTGTGCATGAAGGGGGGGTTCCCTCAGCCCAGCCTGTACCCACTCCAATCGGGGACCCCTCAGGGGACATCCCACAGGGATTGAGCCTAAACCAGCGGTCAGACACCCCTCTCACAATCTGGGACCGCTGGCTCCTAACCAATCACCTGCCTGCCTGCCCGATTGCCCCTAACCTCTCTGCCTGCCAGCCTGATCGCCCCTAACCTCTCTGCCTGCCTTCCTGATTGCCCCTAACTGCCTCTGCCTGCCTGCCTGATCACCCCTAACTGCCCTCCCTTGCCAGCCTGATCTCACCCTCAACTGCCCTCCCCTGCCAGCCTGGTTGCCCCCAAATGCCCTCTCCTGCTGACCTGATCTCGACCCTAACTGCTCTCCCCTGCTGGTCTGATCATCCCTAACTGCCTCTGCCTGCCTGATCACCCCCAACTGCTCTCCCCTGCCAGCCAATTTGGTTCCGATTGGTCAGTTTCTATGCCAGTCAGTGTCAAAAGCTCTGCCTCCTAGGCAGCCATTGGCTCCTCACAGTTGACCCAGAATAGGTTCTGAATGGTAAGTTTTTATGCCAATAAGCGTCAAAAGCTCTGCCTCCTAAGCAGCCATTGGCTCCTTACATTCACCCAGATTTGGTTCTGATTGGTCAGTTTCTATGCCAGTCAGCATCTCTGGGCCTATCAACGGGGCCTGATCAGAAAGACGGGGCTGATCAGCAGCCCTGGTGGAGGCCTGGAGAGAAATGGAGGTGCGGCTGTTGGCCAGGACAGGAGAGAAAGAGAGGCAAGTTCTGATCAACAGCTGCCACAGAGGCTAAGGATCAGACCCTGCCTCTCTCTCTGCAGGCCTCTCTCCGAGTCTGATCCGCAGCCCCCTAGGAAGTCAGTACTAGGTCAGGGCGCCCACAGCGGCCCAGTCAGTGCTGAGTCCCCACAGCAACTCAGCACTGACTTCCGGTCTGGTCAAGCCTTCGGTCATTACGACCCTGGGTCTTTATTATATAGATAGCCTTTAAAAGAAAGGAAAGGCTGATACATGTTATAACAGATAAATGTTGAGGACATTATACTAAGTGAATTAAGCCAGCCAGAAAAAAATAAATACTGTATGATTCCATGTATATGAGGTACCTAGAACAGTCAAATTCATAGAGACAGAAAGTAGAATGGTAGTTAGTTGCCAGGGACTAGGGAAAATGCAATGTTATTTAGTAGGCATAGTTTCAGTTTTGCAAGATGAAAAATATCTGGAGATTAGTTGCACAACAATGTAAATATAATTAACACTATCTATCTACACACTTAAAAATAGTTAAGATGTGTATTTCATCACAATTTTTTAAAAAGAAAAATATTCAAAGCATAAAGATAATAGAAATCAAAGTAGGAAAATATAAAGCCAGAAGAAAATACAGGTGAATATTAACTGATAATGATCATAGGGGATTTCAATAGCTAAAAGAAATGGAAGAAATCTCAAAATCGATAAACCTGAAAACAATGTTATATTGCTACATGTATAATTATTATTAAGCAAAGCCAAAAAGCAAACAATAAATTGGGGGAAAATAACTGGAACAAAATGACAAAAGATTAATATCCTTATTATATAAAAATCTCACAATAATTCATTAGAGAGGCAATAAAACCCCATTTTTAAAAATAAGTAGCACATATATTTTATAGAAGACAAAGTTATTCCTATACTGGGGATCTACTAGTATACCCACTAAACAGTCTAAAATCCACACAAAAACTCATAAAGAAACTGTCCTTTATATACAGCAAAAAGAAAAAAGGAAACAACAAATATTATTGCTAGACAGTTCAAAAATTATACAGCCATGATGTTTCTGAAGAATATTACTCACCTGGAAAAATACACCCAAGTACTGTTAAACAAAAACAGCAAGAATCAAACTTGGATATACAGTACTAGCCCAATTACATTAAGACATATAAAATATGCAATAAAGAGGTACACAGAAAAAGAGGGAAGAAATTACATTAAAATTTAGCAACTCCAAATAATTAGATTATAGATTTTAATTTTCTTCAAATTTCTCTGTATTTCAAAATCCTCTATGAGTTCTCTGTAATTTTAAAAGATAGTAATTCTTTTTAAAAAAACAAACTAGTAAATGAGTTTTTAACTAAGTATTGTATAATTTAAAATTCAATTCTACTTACCTGTTGTCATGGTTGGACTAAATAGTCCCAGTACTGACACACCAGAATAGGAGATCAGGTCTTTATATAATTCCCCAGTTAAATATTCTTCTGCTTCTTGGATAGATGTTATGTTCACTGGACATGAAATCCTGTTGCTAGATGAATATAGATATATATGTATACAAAATTAATTTTTAAAAACACTTTTCACCAGCTATGGAAAGCAATCAGGTGATTCCTCAAAAAATTAAGACTAGAGCTACCATACAACCCAGCAATCCCTCTCCTGGGTATGTACCTGAAAAATTTCAAATCATGTATTTGCAAAGATATATGCACTCCTATGTTCATTGCAGCATTATTCACAGTGGCCAAGACATGAAAACAACCAAAGTGTCCCATGATAGAGGAGTGGATAAAGAAGATGTGGTTGGTACATATAATGGAATACTACTCAGCCATAAGCAAGGATGAAATAGCACGATTTGCAACAACATGGATGGACTTTGAGAACATTATGCTAAGTGAAATAAGTCAGAAGCAGCTAAGAACATATGATTTCACTCATGTGTGTGATATAAAACTGAAACTCATGAACACAAACAGCAGTGTGGTGATTGCCAGAGGGAAGGGGGTGGGGGAGAAGGGGGTCCTAATATAAGGTGACAGGAGAAGATCTGACTTTGGGTGGTGGGCATGCAGTGCAATATTCAGATCTTGTAACATAGAAACCCACCCATGAAACCTATATATTCATGTTGCCCAATGTCACCCCAATCAATTTAATAAATACATTTTTAAATACTTTTCAGCTTATAAAAAAATAAAAATACTGAACTTAGAAAAGACTATATGCCGCAAGATAAACATCCAAAAAAATAAAGACAAATACTATTCTAAACAAACAAACAAAAAATTACTCTCATTAAACAAAATTTCTATCTCCCCAAAAGTGATGGTATGTGGATGAGCTCTACTCATCAATGCTCAGCCTGTGATTTCCGTTCTAGTATCCATCTTAATCCATTCAGAGTGTGTCAACAACATGTGGTAATTAGAAATTTTATAGACCTAAATGTTTACAAATCTTAGGGTGAAGCTGCATACTTACAGCTGGATAAATTTTAGGAGATCTTCAGTTCCTAACATACCACCATAAGATACTGGGTTCTCGCCTTCCTTGTACATCTTTACAACAGGAAATTCAGTAACATTTTCCTTAGTACATACATCAGGCCAATTTGCACAGTTTATTCTAGTAAGCAGCATAGTGGATGTGCCTAATTAGAAGGAAAATGCACGTTTTATAAATATTAAGGTAGAAAACTCAGTTGTTAAAAATTGTCAATATTTTCATATCCCATTCTTTTTTTTTTTTATTGATTTTTTACAGAGAGGAAGGAAGAGGGATAGAGAGTTAGAAACATCAATGAGAGAGAAACATCGATCAGCTGCCTCCTGCACACCCTCTACTGGGGATGTGCCCGCAACCAAGGTACATGCCCTTGACCGGAATCGAACCTGGGACCCTTCAGTCTGCAGGCCGACGCTCTATCCACTGAGCCAAACCAATTAGGGCCCATTCTTATTTTAACCTCTCAGCAGTATCAAACACTGCTGTGGAACACTCTCTCCCCTTGATTTTTTGCAACACCTTCCCCTATTGGCTTTTTTGCCCATTCTCTTGCTGTTCCTTTTTGTTCCTTTGGCAGGTTCTCTGCCAGTAAGATGGGCGTTCCTCAAGGCTCAATTTATTCTGCCTTCTCTATTTGCTCTACACTCTTGTCCTAGACAAACTCAAAAACCACTGCCAATCTAATGAATCTTAAATTTATATCACTGGCCCAGGCTCCTTCTTAAAGTTTCAGATCCATATATCCCTACTGACATACCTTTTTCTGTATGAGTGAAAACATCCTCAAATTCAGTATGTATGTCTAAAACCAAATACGGTTTCCTTCCTGTATATATTGGTGAACATTGCCATTCTTGTACAACTCAAAAAACAAAATATCATTTTTATCGCCTGCCCATTCCTAATTCCCCCATGGCTAACCAAATCAATCAGCATAGCCTTTCAATTTTACCACTTTCATTTGAAATATCTCTTCTATCTGTCCATTTCTCTTTACTACCAGTACTCACTATTTCTCCTTGGGTAGCTACAGTATGCTTCTAATTCATCTCCCTGAATTGGGTATATCTTTACACTGAAACTAGAAGTGTCTTTTTAAAACTCAAATCTATTTTGCTAACAGCCCACCCCCACCAACTTTTACGAGTTTGGTCTTTCTCACCCCTTTATATCTCTGCATGTATAACTACTTCAAGAATGCCTGGACACCCCGATCTACAGCAGGTTCCTATGCACTGATAGGACTATACTCCTTTCTTTATTTTATTACTAGAGGCCTGGTGCACAAAATTCGTGCACTGGGGGAGAGGGGGCGGCGGGTCCCTCAGCTTGGCCTGCACCCTCTCGCAGTCTGGGACCCCTTGCTCCTTACCACCCGTCTGCTCACTCCTTACCGCTGGGCTTGCTGCTCCTTAGCGCTGCCACAGAGGCAGGAGAGGCTCCCACCACCACTGCTGTGCTCGCCAGCCACGAGCCTGGCTTCTGGCTGAGCGGCAATCCCCTGTGGGAGCACACTGACCACGAGGGGGAAGCTCCTGCATTAAGCATCTGGCCCCTGGTGGTCAGTGCGCATCATAGTGACCTGTAACGGTCACTTAAGCTTTTATTATATAGATGTAATTATATACTCATTTGTATGGTTACCTGATGAATGTCTGTTTCTACCAAGAGAGCTCCTTGAAAAAAGGGACTGTGTCTATATTACTCATCTCCCATGCCAGTCTGGTCGCCCCTAACTGTCCTCCC